CAAAACTGCCTGCTTCAAGTTCTTGGAAGTTGTCATTAGTAATAGCGGTTAGCAAAGGGACGAATTCTAGAGAATACTTATGATGACGATTACTACCGAGAAACACTACAAATACGTAGATGAGTGTGTTCTAGCCCAGGTTGAAGAAAGCAATTCGTCGGGGTTCGATTCGCTACTAAATGAATGAAATACTTTCATTCATTCAGTAGCATTTAAAAGTAGAGAGTTACGACTACAGCCACTGCGTATGCCGCAGTGCTTCATCCTTCTGAAGGCTCTGAAGCGATGGAGAGCCTGGTTGACATAGGCGGATATCGGTCCGAAATCCGGTTTTGGAATTAGTAGTGCGGTACTGTATTACCTGACACTACCCACTTCCTCTCATTTGCACACTAGGATTTGTAAAATTGGTAACAATCTACGATAGCCCAACCAAGCTTCTCATTTCTTCGGCTTAGATAAGTTGGTACTATGCCCGTCTGGGAGGGTAAAAACACTGACTTGTACATCGGCTGGCTACCGCAAGTTATTGTTCAGAACGATTTTTAAACGCTGCTATGATTTTGAATGGAAGTCGAATTAGAGGGGATACACCAAAAAAACGGGATTGATCGACTTGGGCTAAAAAGCTTCATACTTCATTATATGAACCAATCCGTTGCCTACGTGGCTTCAGCTCTAGCTCTCACGTTATTTCACTGGAATTGGCCCACCTCTGAGAATGACATTTGTTTCTATTTCAACGAAGTTACCATAATGTTGACCTTCTATGTTTATCTTTCATGTCTCGTGGGTGGGGAAGGACAAATAACAAATGACAAGTTTGTTTTACAATTGATATCATTTCGGTGGCGGAGGAGGATCTGTGTGTTTTCCCAGTGGCACCATAATGTGAGAGAATCACATGGACGAAATAACTAAACAGCTGCTCAGCCAGTTGCACTATTGTTGTCCTTGTGAACAGCATCCGGGATTCACAAACGAAGGACCAGGGTCACGTAGCGTTCTTCCAGTCATTCTGGCATCTCCAGCCACTATTTAGCAGATTCCGTGACAGCTATGATCCCCTGCAACGCCATTTTGGGCACTGAGACAGAGGATCAAGCTCTGGCTTCGATCGATCCTATTCCGGAATGTGCCTCATATTCGACTCCCATTCAAACTGTAGTAGGCTGCGAAGTTGTATTTCGCCTAGACAATGACTTTAGGGTCATCCGATGTTCAGAGTCACGGCTTACTCTTGTGCTATTCAATCAACCCTCAAGCGACCAGACACGTCGTTGACATTGGCAAGCAACGAGCTGAGATTCGAACCCTGAACAAATACGTGGTACAGTGCTACTTGACTTCACCCCACCTGTCCCTTGTCTAATACAGTATTGTAGTGTAAACAGTTTCTTACAATCGTTGGTGCCTCGTACTCCATGCCCGCTAACAAGAAAAAGAAAAAATCATCAAAATCCTACTATCGTGCATGTCTCGGGGCCTTGTCCTCCGATACTTCTTGAATCGTCACCATCTCTCTTTACACCTGGTCTGTATCCTTTGGTGATCATCAAGTTCATAACCTCGTGAACTAGGGTGCTTTGGTATGTTAAGGTGATTATGCTGTTATTTGTAGTTACTGGCTTATCGTATATTCAGATAAGATTATTTATGATTTGATTAGGCATATACATTTCATCGTTACTAGTCTCATTCAGAATTAAGCCTTAATCACTGCCCGGTTGGATCGTAATCAAGTTGGTCTCAATGTGCAAGGTATGTTCCGGTACGTCTTCTTTTTGTAGCTTTCCAATGTTCCCGCTCTCCGAGCATCCTAGCCGGATGATACGTAAGAATATGAAGCCGATCGTCTGCGGCATGATCCCTGATTCGAAGTCTGAGATCGCCTAGGCACCTTAATCATTCTGAAAATGAACCAATTAGGCAACCCTACCCGTGGGTGGTTCAGCAAAGTACAGAATACCCACTTTTGTAGCGACACCCGCCTGCATTTCCATGAAACTGAACGGCTCACTAAAAAGTCTGACCCTTCGATCTGCCTAGTATCCGATTCATCTACTACGCCCAAGTGAACATTTGCTAACACTCTGCTACTTTCTGTGGCTGTAGGAATCCCTTCCACTGGACCAGTGATCTCTGCCATGGAGCTGTGGGTAGCACTCTTGCAAGATTTTTTCCGGAATACTACAGCCTATAGAAGGGACGAATAGAATGTCTCCATTCGTCCCTGCCGTGTCCAGTGCGATTCACTTGACTACTATGGCTCGCGACAGGGACGAATGGAGACGTTACTGGCGCCCGCTCGGGGAAATGGACGATCAACGGGACGACAGGTGGCAGCTGACAGGTGATACTACAGAAAGATTGTGATACGTATAATAAAAGAGAATCTCTGTAGCGGAAATCGCCGGACAGAATTAGCCCTGCTTGAATGGCCCCTAGTTGGAAGTATGTTTGAATATCTGAAAACAATGGGAAGGCTAAAAAGATCAGCTTCTCGACAAGAGGCTCTTCTGAAACTCCGTGAAATTCTGAACGAATTTTAATCGGGCATTTTCAGTTCCCGTATTCACGGCGACGGAGAGAGCGCCTTTTCCACCAGTTGTGGATCTACCTGCTCCTTACATGTGGTGTAATGACTCTGATCCTGATTACCCTATTTCGAGAAAAGGAAAGATTTGTGGTATGTCGTATCTCACCTTCACGTTAGATATGTACATGAGTTCACTCCGATTTCTAAATTCTATTACTTTTTGGATCCCGGGAAGGAAAGGGACGGCAACTTCCGAAGGGGTCTTTTTCCTCAACCTCAACTTTGAGATTTCCATTTCTCGTAAGGGGATGGGCTCTAGAGCTGATAACACTGCAAGCCATTGGGTCTAAGGTATTTTGATTTTCTGGACTCTCACTGTTATCCGGAGCAAATCCTCACTCCGACCTGAGGATAAGAAGTGGACCTCCCCTCTTTTCAACCTAAAGACCAACTTCATATGCTGTACTCTTGGTAATTCTCGCCCCATAGGTACAGTAGGATCCTGTCATGCCGCATTTGTGTCAGGAGTTCCGGATGACCCAGCTAAACTAGGTCACCCAATCTGGCCTGTTGTACCTGAGAGGGGATGGTAGTACCCTCAGTTAAGGGCGTGCCACAACCTCATTTTGCCCACAATGCCTCAACTCTGATAAAGTCAACTGCTAGGATTGTTTACACTCGATGTCATTGATGGTTTTATTTCAGCTAGTATCCGAGACGGCTTTCCCAATATTTGATGATCCGTTTCCAACAGGCTACAGACCTCCTGGACAGGAACTCAGATTAACAATTGATAGCAAAATTGATGATACCGATGAACTTTCAAGCTCAATTTTTGGTTCAAAAACGGATGCAGACGACAATATCTTGAGTATCTTGCCAAATATTTCATTAAAACTTGATCCAGCTCTGATCAGAACTGGTCAGGTATGTTATCAAATTTTCTACAGGTCATTTTAGAGTTCCGAGTTCTTTGATAGGAAATTTTTCCAACAAAAAAAATCATGGAGATATCTCTGCCAGTCCTTTCCACTCTAGACTCAAATCACCTCTTTGCGATTCAGAAAAATTGGGCAGTTTTTTGGAAAATTTTAAAAAATTCATTCGACTGTACTGAATCCACCTTAAGCAATCAGGGAAGGAGGGCATTTTGAGTCTCAGAGTTCCTCCAAGCGCGACGACAATCTATTATGGCCTTTGTTCGATTGCTATTTCTGTTCCTCTGGTACATTTCTTCAAGAATTGAAAAGAAATTCCTGATACTAATGTACCGACTTTCCCAAGAATTCAAGGAAGACCGGACAGAAAGAGGGATAATTCCAGTAATGTCACTTCAAAAATGATTCCCATTTTATCTTCCAGGAAGAGCATTCGATCCTCGAGGAAAGCCTAAGGAACGCTGTCGTCGAAAAACAGCCAAGATGGGGCGTAATAAAGGTTCCCAAAAACGGTTTAGCTGACGTACACACCCAAATTGGACGAGATCTTAAGTGTTGAAAGGCTGTAGACGTTGCGCCATTCGCACCGGGACCCACACATTGCGCGCAGGCAGTGTCTTGTAGCCAGGAGTATGCATGGCGGGAGCGTTCGAACGGCTCTCCCAAAGTCTTTCCATGCAGCTTTTCGTGACCTTCTCGTCCATCCCCTAATTCTACTTCTTTTCGAAATCTTGTATTCCTCCGAATGAGCCGATTCTCACGTTTTCTTTCCACTATTCTGGACTATCACTTCCATCACACTTCTAGAACTAGAAATTCCTTAACTGTCTTTAACTGGAACACGGGATACTGATAATAAATGCACCGTTTTACCCACACGTCTGGTCAACCCTTATATTCCTATATTCCTTGTGTACCGTACCGTGAATGTATAAGAGGGATTCCCAGATCGCCCCTATTCATTTTATCACATGTGATAATTGTATCACAAATTGTGAAGCTGCTTTTTTTACTTCTGGAGTAGTAATAGGTAACTTTGTCTACTTCACAGAAAATATGCTCTTTTTTAAGTACCATTATACCAATATTATTGTGCATTTCGATTTGAAAGGAGCACCGCCAAAAGTCGGTTATTTTCTCTCACTCTTGCAGCTGGTAGCGGATGCTGGAGCTACAGGTGGTTTTCTAATCCGTTTTTTCGTTTTTTTTTAATTCTCATAGGAAAAAAACTCGCCCATATAGGTTGGAACAGGGAATGCTTCCTAAAGTTGTCACTACTTTGTTACTGAAGAGTTGTTTTGTCAGATCCCGTCTGTCGTAGCCCAGTGAGCATTCTATCCTCCACAGTACCTTGTCTGTACAGTATGTACCTTGCTGGGATTCAGTAAAAGGTGTCTCGCGGCCAACTGCATTGAGAGTCAATGTTACCCAAATCAGGGAATCGTTGAAGTCAAAGAAAACTATTTCAGGGATACTCATAGAATGGGAGGATATGTTTCCATGGTCAGGTGAACTAGAAATGGTGAAAAGTACCAATGCTTACACAGTCAAGGAAGTGCATCATATTCTCAAGAGAGCCCAGTATGTGCTTCGAAATAATATACGAGTGTACTAAAACCGGGGAAGGGTATAAGGGCTACAGGAACATTCTAATACTTACGCTACTACATTTCTATGAATGACAAGCTACGTGTATCTAGTAGGTTTGTCGATATGCGTGTGGGTGTTGTTGTTGTGTGTATGTATGTGTGTGTATGCGTGTATGTGTGTGAATGTGTGTATGTGGACCGAAAATTCAGAATTTCTGTTCCCTTGAACATAGGACGTTCAAATCGGAAGGGATAAAGACGGCAGCATAATGACATTGGCGTTCGTGGTAAGAATGGACTTCATCCTAAGGGAGAGGGACTAAGGCCGAAGTTCTTCTATTGGTCTTAAGGTTAAAATCGGAAAGTTGCAGGTGACAGGATGAAAATACTGAGCACTACACCAGGTTAATTAAACACACATCATGACTTGAGCGGACTGGAAGAGAGCTCGCGAAGTGCTTTGGTGATATTCATGACTTCGGTTGTTCTGTAGAAAAGCATCGTAGAAAGGGATGCGGGCGGCAAGCCGAGTTCAACCCAAAAGGATGAGAGCCAGGCATTAGCAGGGCGATCCAGCTGGTTTGACATAAGTGGGTTTGTCTTTTATAAAAACAAAATTGATAAAATTTGTTCAGAAGTCTCGGTCTTGAAGTGATTCCTTTGGTACAAACATTTGGGCATATGGAATGGATTTTGAAGTATGAGGAATTCCGATCCCTACGCGATGATGATCGCTATCCACAGGTATGGGCGTGAAGTTCAGGAGAATTGTGAGAATTATCGAAAATCCCTGATGGGTATAAAAAATGGCTCCTTATTAATACAAAGGGGAATGTACAATAAATATGAACGCGATCGTCTGTAGTATCTACGACAGCGTGGGTAAGTATTAGGTTCGCGGATAAGTCTTTGCACATTTTTGTTTTTATGTTATGAAATCTTTGCGGATTGTTTTGAAGGTTCAATGCAGGACAAGCGTAAGTGCAAGTGCATGTCAATGCCCTCTTCGCACCATACTATCTGCCGTAGCATTTCGCGACGGTTATGGCTGCAAGAATCGCTGTCGACACAAAGCGAGTCAGACTGCCTTTACTTTATAAGTTCAGAAAAAAAAACGTTGATTCAAATTGAGCGAAAGGGCAAATATGTGACGCGATAGGACTCTTCATTGTCTCTCACAGCACAACAAGAAATTGATACCACAGTTCAAAAAGGGTCACTTTGACTGGTCAGTCCCCTCCCACTCGGTCTGGGGGACTAACTGAGCTCAATGGCTGCTTTCAAACTTCGACGTCCGTCCGTACGTCCGTCTTTTCAACGCGTGCTGCGACGGCGGTCGCGTGTGTGTCGCGACGGCGTTTATAGGGAGGTGTTGACAACACTAGATCACGTGCCAACGGTATCAGCACCTTTCCAGAACCGCGGTCGAAGCACGCGTTGAACGGATGGACGGACGGACGGACGGACGTCGAAGACTGAAAGCAGCCAGTGACGACTACTGCTAAAGCTGATTGAAGTGAACTTCAGCTGTAGTAGTCGCGAGCTGAAGCAGGAGCTCAATAGTCACCACGTTACAGTAGTTGCTCATTTGCATCGCCCCGGATACGCATGGAGTACGGAGAATGGATAAGTTGTGAGCTGGAAGGACACCACTTTCAAATGAGGAGAGATCATGCCTCGATTTAATGGCTTTCCGGCGCCCTTTGCATGGCTGGAAGACTGAATCACCGGCGACAAGAAGTGTGTTCTCTAAGTAAACCACAGAAAGCGCCAGTGGCTTGGACGCGTCGAGCATGGAATCCTGACCCCCAAACCAGAACTCCAACCTAGGAAGGCAATGCTTTGCGTTCGGAGCCATCCAGAAGGATCATCCACTTGGACCTGCTGCCACCGAACCCCACTGTCAGCCTTGTGTACTCCGTTAACCTTATTGCTGCAGCTCTAAGAGAGCAACAGGGCAAAGTCTATTTCCTCCACGACAGTGCTCGAAGGAGGCTCAAAAGAAACTTCAAAGCTTGGGATGGCACGTTTTGGCCCATCCACAGTATTCACAGACCTGGCTCCAACGAATTATCATCTGCTCCTCTCGCTGTCAAACCATCTGAAAAATAAGAAGTTCGATGATGTGAATCAACTCTGAATCGACATTGGCGAGTTCTTCTCCTCAAAACCTCAGGAATTCTATGCAAGGAAGCTCCACAAGTTGCCTGATTATTGGCAATACCTTGTGGATAATGGCGGTGCATATGAATGGATGTTAATTGTTAATTTTCGTAAAGAAAAAAATAAAATTGATCAAAATTGCAGAATGTGCAAAGACTTATGCGCCAACTTAATATAAAGGGGTCTAAGATGGAAATTAATATCGTAATTGACATCAACAAGGTGTGCACTAGTCACGAAGTACTGCCGCCTCGTCCCGCAGCAACTAAATCACTGCTCTTCTAATCAGGCGGAGGCCATTCACTTCTAATCTGTGGATCATCGAAGATCCCAGGACGCAAGCCTCCACGCGGTGACCTATTTCGCCATGGCACTTTCTGATCTATGCTCATCACTTGCGCGATGCTGCACCTACTTCAGTCCGGTGGTTCTGCGTTGGCACGTCAACTGAGAAGGGGAAAGAAGCACGGGGGCGAAGCCGAGCAAGCTCCAGAGCACCACTATGCCCGGCTTCTTGGTAGATGGATGTCGGAAACGCCATACAATCGCTCTTTCTAGGACTTGGACACATAGGGCGACTGCTGCCATAGAGATTCACTTATGCCCTCACTAATGTTACAGGTAATCTGCTTGGGCAACAAAAAAGCCATGAATTTGATCAAAGAAGCAATCAAACAAGTTGTCGACATTCATCTCCCGTACGGCATACAGCACTTCCACATAGGAGCTGATGAAGCTTTTAGGGTAATACTTTGTCCGATTTTGTCTTTTACTTTTCAACAATAATCAGTTCAACAGCCCTGGACTCTTCTCACTCCGAAATTTCTATTTGATTTGTGATACACCTTCGTAAGTACCCTCATGCCGAGCTTTTGATTGAAGTTTTAGTGAAAGGTGTTTTTTCAAGACGAAGGGAAGATCATCCTACCGAATATGTATTGTAGTAGCATATAATGTATAGTAGTAGTTTTATATAATATA